GCACCTCTTGTTTTACACAGGATACCTGTAGCCCTCTGAGTTTGAATTTAAAATCATTTTGACTGGAATGCTCCCTAAATTTCTTGGATGCTGGTCTAAAAATGAAGACATGTTAGTGACTTACAGCAAAATTAAAACATAAAATCAGAACAACTGCAAATTAAAACATCACAGCTTGATAAGAACAACATTAATACATTTAAAAAGTTAAAATTTTAATGTAATGACTGGAGAACTAATACATTTTTATGCCACTCTTCCTTCAAATCACATAGGACACCATGAATTTTCTCCTATTTTATCTTCCCAACTCCCTTATGAAGTAGGTTTGGCTGAGATATAGTGGCAGATTTAAAGTCACCAAGTGAGCTTCATGGATGAGTGCAGTCCAAGCTCACTTCAAGCTTAATTCTGAGAATAAAGTTTTAAAAGTGTCCTTGTGTAACAAGGGTGCATAAATGCTAGATTATTTAGCTGCACTATTCATTTTCCCATCCAGTGATCTCAGGAAGACAGATGTTTCAGCCATGTAGCTAAGCTGAGGCTTAATTTATATCCAAAGTCACAAAAGCTCAGCCTTGGGATGACATTAAATGCAGGCTGGATTGCGACATTTCGGTGAGCCTGCTCAGGTTGCATTTACTAGGTGGATTTTGATTTTGTATGATTGATTACAGGAAAAAGGGTCCTACAACTGCCATGTTGGCTGGGGCATGATGGAAGGTGTAGAACGTTCTTTGTCTAAACATGCATAGAACTGCACCCTTAGGGACTTTAAGCAAAGATATATCACCATTTTAAACACTGCACTGTTTTCAAGAAATTGGTTCAACTAAACTTCCCCTGGTTGTCCAGGGATAGACAATATGGTACACCCCAATCTTTCAGCCTTGGTGGCTTTTTAGCAGATAAGGCACAATATAAATTTTAATAAATTAAAACTCATACAATCCCTGACCATTGGCTATGCTGGCTGTAGCTTGGGGAAGTTGTAGTCCAAAACAACCTGGAACACACCAGGTTGTCTTTTGCCATGTTATTCTGTTAAGACCAATGGGACTTCTGGTAGTGATCATTGGTATTTTGTCCCATTGATTTCCATGGGAGTAAAGCATGACTAAATTAGTCTGAGTCTAATGCAGTAAAACATCACCTGCAAATAATGCCATGAACAGTTGCCAGATGGTGAAAGTTTTCCTAGAAAACTCTGAGGCAAAGGGCATTGCCTAGCAAGTTTTTGAGGTGATTTGAGTTTATAGTCCATAGGATTATAAATGTTATAAAAGGTTCCTAATATTAATTGTACAATAATAATGCATATTTACATCCTATTTACTTACTAGACTTTTACTGCTCTGGAAATGTTTTGAGTACATCCATTTTTCTAAAAAAAAGTACATTAGCCCAACCAAAATATTAAAAAAATGTACACACTTTTAAGCTCTGCAGAACTCATCAGGGAGGATACTACAAAAACGAGGAGCACTTGTTCATGGACTCTGTGGCAAACTTGATTTTGTCAAAATGCTGCTGGATGAAATGATTTGGAGATCTTGAATGCTTGGACCTTTTTGTGATCTTTTGATTGACTAAACAATAGCATTATTTTAATATGGGTTTTGAATTTTCTCGTGTCATCTTCGTGGCCATCTTTGCTTCTTCCCCCCTTCCTTTTCTATTGACACCATTCAGTGTGACTTACTCTTATGCAGAAATTTGGCCTGCAATAGATCAGCCCTGCACATACAACTATTAACACAGAGCTTCTGAATATGTAAAAGTTTGTCTTCCAGAGAAGTGTCAACTTCAGCACTTCTAAATTAATTTTTGGAACAAACCCATAAGAAGGCTTATGTGAGCTCAACACTCATTTCCAGAACAGTGTAAGAGCTGTTCTCTTACTACTTTATATTCTGATTGCTGAGTCCCATGGATATTATGATGACCTCTTGAGATAGTGCCACAACTGGCTTTTGAAGGGCTACTGTATGGCCCTTGGTTATCTGATCCAACTCCTGGAAGAAACCCACTGAACATCCTCTTTTACTTTCCTAAGGATCAGCAATGCAAATGAGGGGTCCCAGAGTCTGGCCACCACTACCACTGTTCCTCAGCAATGTTCAGCCACAATGTAGAAAGTATTAGAGGAAGCACTTTTAAAGTTTCATTGTTCTATTTGGTTCACAGATTTTTTTTTTAATTTTTTATTTTGTGGTCAGGAGGTATCTTGTGAAGTTTCATAACACTTCCATCTTGTTCTTAACACAGAAAACCTGTTAATGAACTCTCTCTGGAAGAACCCTTAGGACCAGGAAGTTAGGCTGGATAAAGTCAGAATAAAGATTTGGACTAAATGAATGAGATTCCCCTCCAGGTCTGATAAAGTTATTGAAAATTATGGACAAAAGACTGATAAAATGAAACAGATTATTATATGCTAGAAGGCATCCAATGCATGCAGGATCATCTCTCTCTATTGTTGCTGCTGTCACTTATCTCTGCTGTGCATGCCCAAATTCAGTCTTGGTTCTGACACTCACTTTTATTATCTAGTATATTTTTCACAGTAAGTTCAAAGATATGTGAGGCAAAGTGTTATGATGCACAGCTGTAGTTATGTATTACATAACAGACATTCAAAGGCATACTGTTTCCAGGCCTGGACGTCCCGTTAACATATTTTAGTTACAGATACACCTGTCTTCCATGATCTTGTCCAGTCCCCTTTTAACACTATCCAATGCATTGGCCATGACTTCGCATGGCTACACATACTACAGTTTTGAACTGCGCAGCTGTTTATTTTGTCCTAAAACTACTGCCTACTTCACTGAATGACTCTAAATTCTAGCATTTTAAGAGAGGAGGGAAAAGTTATATTTACTGTTTCTATCTCATGCATATTATAAACCTTGCTACTTGTGTTTTTTTAAAATAAAAAGCCCCAAAATGGTGCAAGCATGTTCATAATTTTGATTTTCCCATTTCTGTACTTTTCTAGCTCTACAATATTATTTTTGAACTGATGTGCCTTATTAAGCCAAATAAAGATATTACTCTCCTCTCCCCAATGCTTTTGGAACTTACAGTGATGCTAACAGTCTTAGAGCATAATCCTATTCATGTTTAGATGGAAAGAAGTTTTATGACTCCCAACAAGCACCAGCCAAAGTGGCAGACTGAGGAATATTGGAACTTGTGGGACATTTTTCTTGTCTAAACATGCATAGATTTGCACTAGGTATTTACATCTACACAAAAATTCCTGGATAAAATCCCAGAATGGTCTATATTCTACAGCAGGGGTCTCAAACTCGTGGCCCGTGGGCCAATTGCCGGGACGGACGGTGCACGGGGGAGGGGCCCTGTGGCCTTCAAAGCGCCGGTGGCACCCGGGCCGGCCACGGGATGAGCAGCCCACCACCACCGCTTGATGCGGCCCAGCCTCACCCTGACTCTACTTCCAGTGGCCCCCAGGTAAGTTGAGTTTGAGACCCCTAATCTACAGCTTCAGACAAGAAGCTAGAATCTGGAGCTGTGATTTGCCATGTCATGTCAAAGACAGTAATTCTCCACCATCACCACCCCAACTTAGCACTTTTCCTGAATGACAGATTAAAACTGTCACAGGGAAAGCAAAGTCAGGATCTAGTACTTTGTTCTAAAAGTTAAGATAAAGAATCAGTTTTTAAACTGAGACTGTTATTTCCGCATGTGTTTATGAGTGGACACAAATGTGACATATTTAGATGTGTTTCCATTGCTTCCCTGCTCCCTGAAGTCACTCCTAAATCTGTAAGTATCTGTGTATCTGCTGCATTTTCTAGAACAGAACCTAGCTATTCATAGTCAGATAATTTGCAATTCTGCTAAACCTGAACTGTGGAGCTCAATTTCCGTATTTATTCCATGTGTACTATGAAATAACCAAACTCTCTTGAAATACAAAGGTATAGCCAACGATCAATTAGAGACAGGGATCAAAGGGTTCATTTCCCCTTTTCCTAAAAAGTCCCCAGTGCAATTATATAAATGTCAGCAATAGGCTAGATATGGAATGAGGCACAGTCAAGGAGACATCATTGTTCTGGTTGCATTAGTGGTGGTACAGTGTGCACCACTGTATTTATTAGCAAAACCTTAGATTCATGTACAAATCATTCTGCATTGGTTGTACTGTACATGCACTGTATCCAATGTTACACTAGCAGAAAAGGGTAGAATAGGTAACATTCTGGTAATGCTTGTAAAACTGCAAGCACACCTAGCCTAATGAAATTGTAATGAGTTATGTAGTAGCCTACAGAATGGTTTGCTGAAGTGGAATCTGACACTTGTGCAAGGATGACTTTTCAGAAATAGTAGACACTTTGTGCTAGAATTCTACCACTGGATAGCCCAGGTGTCCATAACAAAGTAGTTTCAGAGTCTATCTACTTCAAGATTTTTTATTTAAAATATTTCAACCATGTCTTTCCATGAAAATTACCTTGGTGATTAAAGTGTAGTCATTCCATCAGACAAAGTGTAATTTCTGACTAAGGGACATTATCTTTCCAAAGCAGTACGAGAAGGGGCTTTAGATACCTGCTCAGGATGGGCTTTATCAACCATTCTAGAATGTTAGTATCATGTTATAAAAGCAATATTGCAAGATATATTAAATCTAATGTGCATAAGCATGTGTAATTAGTGTCAATATATTTTACTATAAATGAAGATTTTCTTAAAGAAGAATGCATATCACCTACCAGCTTCAAGTTGGTTACCCTCGCCCTCCCAACTTTGACTCCATTTGACTGGAATGAGCTTCAATGTTTTTAATAGCACACAGCAATCATTATTCACAATAAATAAGAGCTCCTGAATTACATGAATTGTCCCTGTACTTCCAGTCAAATATTTGCAGTGGTTTTGTATTTATAGCCAAAAGGAAACTTGCAGGGTGCCACTATCTGATACAAAAATAATTATTCAATCCAATGTAAAGATACTTGGAATGTAGTAAATATATCTTTATTATGTAGTTGCAAACAAAGTCAGTAAGCCCTTTAGAAAGGAAACTATTTCATTGCCTCCTAGTTTAGACTCTCCGTAGACTCGGTCCACAAATGATATTGGAACCTATTAAAACAAACACATCAGAAAATCATTCCGATTATAACACAAGAAACAACTTCATGAAACTACAGAAGGAAAACAAAAACATTTCAAAATGTAGATTATTCTAGCATTGCGCTCAGAATACAATATGCTTTGATGGACAGTATGAAATTATGGCAGGTTTAACTACTGGCTACCATGGTTATGTCAGAGGAAAACAATTTATTTATTTATTTGGAAGGCTTCTATGCCAGGGCGGCTCACAATAAATAAGAGCAGTATAAAACAATATAATATGAATCGACTTGGCCCAAAAAATAAAATAAATAAATAACAGTTAAAATAGTGTTTGAATAAAAAGGTCTTCGCCTGGCGTCGAAAAACAAATAACGACGGTGCCAGGCGGACCTCTCTGGGGAGCGCATTCCATAGATTGGGCGCCACCGCAGAGAAAGCCCTCCTCCGGGTACTTACCCTCCTAATATCCTTCACAGAGGGTTCCCGGAGAAGGGCCTCTCCCACTGATCTCAATGTACAGTTGGGGGAGGGGGCATAGGATTATTTGGAGTCTCAGTTCAGAGGTCCCGTGATCCTGGACCTGGGGTGCTAAATAAGGCTCCTCTGCCCACCCATAGCAGGCAAAAGGTGAATGCTGTGGAGGGGAAGAGGCTGATGCTGACATCTTCAGTGGATTCCAACAATGCCTTCCTTCCCACCTCTTCTGTGTTTCTTTATTAAATCCAGGGTGGGAGGTGCAGGGAGGCAAAGGTTGCCACCATTGCATCTTGTGCTGGATACACATAAGCCTCCATGTTGAGGCTTTCGTGCATTGAGGGTGGAGAACATTTGACTGGGCCCACAAGATGCATTAGTGAAGTTGTCATGCACTTGTTAGAGTGTACACAGAATCTCAGCTATAATTTCTTGTAAAACCACATGTCAGGATTTCATGAATAAAGCTTTGAATGTGATGACACAGTACACTGATGTTTAAGAACACTGCATTTCAGATATTTCTTTTTTCTGTTGGCCGCTATGGTTTCTCAGGCAGCAGCTAAACAAACTTCTGTTTGATTGGGGTTTTGAGTACATTTAAATTTGTTTTCTGCTGCAATATGTATGGTTGTTTTATTCCACTATGTTGTTTTAATGTTTGATTATTTTGTGATACTGCTTCTAAAAGAATCACAAGCCTCTTTATTTTAAAGGCAGAATATAAATCTTTTAAACAAACAAATACAATGGGAAGAAGGGTTCCAACTTCCCTTTTTTCCCCCCAACATCCTGAGTGCTCTAGATTAAGTTATCTATGTTTTCCTTTCCACATAAAAACAAAAATTCCTCATAATCTGAACAGCAATTAGTGCTAAACTTACAATTTCCAATAGCCAGACACTTAGGCTACAATCTTTCACATGCTTACCCAGGAATGAAGACAAGATGCAAAAGATTGTAGGGGTATTTTTATCTTCAAAGTGCCAAATAAATTTCTGCTAAGGGCACAGTCCTATGGCCTTCAGACACTGCCTTAACTAGCCATAGGAGAGGATTAAGTTCCAGTTCCAACCCTGTACACTGATTAAGAGGTCAGAGCTGGAATCCTGACTTTGGAGCCTGCTCCCTCCACCTTCACAGCTGGCATGGTTCCTTCCATCCTGGCTACAGCTGCGAAGTTGGAAGACTGACCTCAGAGCTAGAACTGGGTAAGTATTTCAGGGAGTGGGAGAGGAGGAAATAAGATTTGCTGAGATTCAATGTATTTAGTCTCACCTCTTCATGACAGGGACAAGAGAATTAGACAGCTGAAATTGTTCACCTAAATCCTTTGTAGTGCAGGAGAAGCAAAGAAGTGACCTTTGCCTCCATTCACCTTTTACTTTCAATGGGATGCCCATAATCCCCTGAATAAGGAGGATTATGGGCAGCCACACTAGACTGAGCTACTTTAAAACTAACAAATCTTTTTTATATAACAAACATACTTAAGTATTTTCCTTTAAAAATTAGTATTGCACATTGTTGCAATTCACTACCTGTTCATTACATGTACTCTACACTGGTTTGCAATACTTCAGACCATTGGATCTTTTCAGGATAGTGAAGCAGGAACATTAAGATTCCAGTGTGTAAGACTATATATTAAATACCCAAATGGCCCAAAACAGCTTGTGAAATCCATAGAAAGTCTGGCTATGCACTCTTAGTTGGCACACTCTAGCTGGCAAGTAGAAAGGGGGGGAAAAACACTTCCCACACCCATGCTGTTCTGCCAAACGTAAGTTGTTACATCTCTAGGCAATAGTTTCTTTCTGACAGTGGAGAGCCCAAGGCAGATTGCCTAATATATCTTCTGTTGCCACACAGACAATGGCACAAAGTAAGGAGAAAACATAGCCAAAGCATCCAAAATTCCTAAGGAAATTTCTTGCCAGTGCAAACATCCCCGTATTAGGAATGATAAAGTTTAGAATTCTTATGCTAAAGGGAACTTATAAATATTGCTTACATTCCACAACTTTTTTTATTTAAGCAACATTTAAATGTTAATACCACTGAATTTTATCTGGCCAGGGCGGCTTATTTTATAATGTGTGTTTTAAATTATTATGATTATTTTATATGTATATTTTAACTTATTGGTTTTATTTATTGTTGTAAGCCGCCCTGAGGCTTCGGCAAATGGGGAGGCATAAAAATGTTTTAATAAATAAATAATAAATAAAAATAATAAACTAAGGCACGCTAACCATTCTAGAAAGTTTTTGTGAAAGAATACCAGGAAGAGATTTTCTTCTGCAGAAGCACCCACACCTATTATTTAAATTTTGTTAAAGTAAGTTTTAAAGTTTTAAAGTAAGTACGAGTCTATAAACTGTTGCTGGAAATAGGGTTGGGTCAAACCTTTTCAGAATCTGTCCGTCTAGCATCCATGGACTTGCTCTTGTGCTTTTTCTGGACCTGCAAAATGAGCTAAACTAAGAGGAAGCCTGCAAATGTTTGCAGAGTCCTTCTTGTGCAACTGGCAACCTTCCCCATCAGGTGTAGCTACCCAAAGAGCAGTTGCAGGACACAGAAAAGGGTTGCTGTGAGCGGCTGTGCCAGGATCCATTCCTGGTGATCAATGTTCTTCCCCACCCAGCGCAGCTGATGGCGGCAGTGCTGGAGACAGAAGGTGGGGTGCGGTAAGCCATCTCCCCCTCGAGTGCAACTGGTGGCAGCAGTGCTGGGCACAGGAGGAGGACACTATGATGGCCATGACAGGTGCCATTCCTGGTGACCAACCTTCTTCCCCACCAGGCATGGAAATGGGATGCTGCTTGTTCAATGGGGCTTTTCCTGGCAAGCACCCAAGAATGTTAGGCCTACTCATCAAGAACTTGGACTCAGTGCCACAGCAAAGCAGCCCTTAGTCTGGGGAGTTGTGCCCAAGGAATCCAATGGATTCCTACCTCAAAATGGATTTCTTGCACATCCCTAGCTGGAAGGTTGGACAGACCTACAGAAGCTGGATTGCTGCCTGTATAGCTCCTTTAAATTAGTGTCCATGACTGGAAAGAAGGTAACAGGCTACATTAGAGTACTGGTCCAATGCAGCACATCAATTTTCTGAATATGCAGAACTAGTAACCTGAGCCTGGAGGACCACATCATCAAGTGAGGACAAAATAAAAAGTTTATTTTGCACAGTGACCATTATCTGCCCACACTTGTAGATCATTGATACCCATATTCTCTTATCTCATGACCTAATTTGTACAATACTAGATATAATTCTTAATCCACTTTTTATAGAGCCTCAGCATTTAAGATCTTAATGTACAGTTATGAACAGTAAGCAACATAAAGAATTGTGCTTCTGTGCATTTTCACTTACTGGTCAATTACAAGTCTAGCATCCACCATGTAAACCTGTAGCATAAGAAGCTAAATCTTGTTTGTTTTTTGTCTTTTTCACCATACCTCTCCAATAGAGTAACCCAGTTGTCTGGCCCGGACAATCATTTCCATCTGGAAAACATATCCCTTTGAAATGCACTTCTCCATCAATTTATGTAAAACTTCCTTTTTATATAACCTGTAAATAAATACATGAAATTAAAATATCTTAACACAGAAAATGAACACATGCTTACCAACAATATTCTGCCATTCCAAACTGCAAAATTCACCCACAGATTTTAAAGCTTCGGTTTTGAATCAGTTTCAAATTGAGTATTAGCATTGCTAATTTTTGATAATTACATGCCATTTCAGAGCCAACATACCTGAAACTTCCTGTTAAATCAGATGCTCCTGGACTCAGAAGAACTTGAGTTAGGAAGTTGGCACCTCGACTGCCAAGGAAGATACAGTTTTTTAAATCACTCAGAGTCAAAAGTTGAAAAATCACAAAACTTTAAGATACCACAGCAACACTGACTTATGGTAACAGAAAGTCACAGTTTCTGGTGAGAAGACTAAAATATATGCACTTGTTGTGAGCCCCCCCAAGGCTTTGTTGCAATGGGGGCAGCATAAAAATGTTTTAAATAAATAAATAAATAAATATTAGGAAAAGTTGGCTAATGTAGGTTGAGTCAAGATGACACATCTGTAAAATCTAGAAGATTTTTCTATCCCTCTTTGTGACTCTTATTTATATATGCTGCATGTCACAATCAGGAGCTCTGCTCCTAGTTTAATAGAAGTAAATAACAGAAGTCCCTGCCCACAGACATATAGTCTACAAAATAGGACTGAACAACAGAAGATGAAATTAAAAAAGATAAAAGATGGTACACAGTAACTGATGGGTACAGACCTATGGATATTCTCTCTCTCTCTCTCTCTCTCTCTCTCTCTCTCTCTCACACACACACACACACACACACACACACACACACGTGTTCAACAGGTCTCAACATGACTAGCTGGGGAATGCTGGGAGCTGTAGGACTACTTCTTGTTGCTCTAAACATCCATAGAATTTTGCCCAAAGGGTTTAATTACTAAACTAAAAATATTATCCAGTCTGGCTTTTCCCATAACAGGGTTGTAAAGATGGAAAAAGTTGGCTTTTCCCTTCATTGTTGCTCTTAAAGATAAGAAGTTCTCTCAGGATCTACCATTTAACAAAAGGTCAAAATAAATTAAAGCAAAAACAGTTTCATAAAATGCTACACATTTCTGAAGAAGCCCTTATTATTGAGTATATTAGCTAATTGAATGTCTTCAGAATGAAGGGAAACTATTAACTGAAAGACTTTTTTTAGTCTTACATGTTTACCCTGCAGCTGCCCATATGAGCTGCTACTGACCAACAGCTTCAGATTTCATAACCTAACATGGTTTTGAAATTGAAGACTTTTACCAAGAAAGAAAACAACTGACAAGCTCAACTCTGAAAAGCAAGGAAATAATTGATAAGAAATGGTAATGAATAAAGGTACTGACCTGAGCAATTTTCGCTTCAAATCCCACCCATGCACGCCTCCATTTCCTTTATAGCGAGTTCCAGATACAATGTCAAAATTACCTTCTTTCTGGGTTCTAGAGAAATAATTAGGCAGGAGGGAAAAATTCAATTATTTTGACAAAATATAATATCTTTAATAATCTAGGTTAAAATTTAATATAATTATACATAGTTGAAATTCACCATTGAGTACTTTAGCACTAAATATACTGAAAGACAAAACCTGGGTATCAAGCTGGCTAAATATGTTATATTTGTCATTTGCTCTTCTGAGTGTACTCAATGGCTACATAACAGCCTGTTATCTGAGATACTGTAGGTAATAGAGGAATCAAAACAAGAATATATAAGGCCATCAACCAATCTACACACTTGAAGTGAGCATACCATAAAAGACCACAGGATTATACTCTTCACATGAATACAACAGCAATGTTCTGAATATTCAGAAATATTTGAGAGTGAGACCCATATAATTTAATGGTTAAGAACACGGGAATAGGCCTTGGGGCATCTGGCTTCTAGTCCCCACTCAGTCATGAAGTTCACTGGGTAACTTTGAGGCAGTCATAGACTCAGCCCAACTAACAGACTGAAAGGAGAATTATGTAAGCTGCCTTGCGTTCCTTTGACGGCAAAAGGATGGGATATAAATATAATAAATAAAATAAAATAATCCGAAAGGGATTATAATGAATACCAGTGCATTAGGTTTGCAGAGCACACTGTTTCTGCATTACCGTGCTTTAACTGTACTAGTATTTCTTACGGTTCCTCCCTTAACCAAACTAATCCCTATAAAATATTAACCATGGTTAGTGCTGGTACGAGCATGCTAAACTATGGTCCATGCAAACAAGGAAAGGAAAAGGAGGGAATGTATGAAACCCCAAGTCACTTTTGTTTATAAGAGGAACAGCATTATGTAAAGCTAGAACACTGGTATCACAGCCTTCTTCCAAGGAGGTCATGAATTATCTAATTTTATGTTCTCTCATAAATTTTGTGATGCAGGCTAGCCTAAAAGATACTGACTGACCCAAGAGTCCCAGTGAGCTTCATGAATGGTCACTGATCTGAGGTACAACATGCAAGAATTCTCTACATGTCATTGAAAGTAAGGAGCTTGCACTAACCAGGCACAAGTTTGCATACATCAAAGTGAAAGATTCTGAACCCAACCGTTTTTCATACATAATGTAGCATTATATATATATTAGCTTTGAGCTAAGTTTAAAGAAGCCTGGCAAATGTTTAAGAGAAGGACAGGTTCAGGTACTATAACAGTATGTATTATGTTTAAGTCATTTTAGCTTCTGCACCAACACAGAACTGGAGAAGTGATTTGACATGAACTGTAAACAAGGTTCATACAGACTAATTTAAAGGAACCAGATGCAATATGCCTTTCAACATTTATACACTGCTAAAATTTTGACCAAGCAGTCTCAAATTGGCTGTTAAAGGTGATTATACGGCCACTGTCAGTGGCTACTAGCCATGATAGCTGTATCATACTATCTCTAGGTTCAGCAGCAGCATGGTCCTGGATACCAACTGCTGGAGACTAACAATAGAAGGGGGCTATTGCTCTCATGTTCTGCTTCTGGGCTTCCCAAAGGCATCTAGCTGGCTACTCTGAGAAGCAGAGTGTTGGACTAGCAAGGCCTAATCCAAGAGAAGAATATAAGGAGTCTCAAAGCTCACCTACTAAAATGTCCTTTTTTGTAGAGGATATAAGCTTCTACACAATGAAACAGGAGTAAATCCCAAAGAAACCAATAGCTTACCTCAAGTAAACATATAGAGGATCAGAGCCAGAAATTCTCAAGCAAAAATTCATAAACAGAATCCACGAAAGGTACTGAAACATGTCTATACTATCTTCTGTATTAAAACATTATGGAGCTTGTTTAACTGAAAACAATGGAGCATTCCAATTTGAATTGTTTAGAACATGGCTCCTCAAATGTTAGCATATTACTCATCTCAAATGTTACAAATGTATCTGAGGGCAATAAACTTCAATGTCTGAGTTCAAATATTAGAAATGTCACCCACCTGATAAATTCTGGAATGAATTTTGGCTGAAACAAAAGAGGAACATTTGAAAGAACAGAAAAATCAATGCAAATTGAATATAGCAAACTTGAACAAATACATGCATATGCACAGAGGACAAACTTACATGGTGTGAGAGGTCAGCATCCATAATAATTATGAAGTTTCCCGTAGCATGCTTCATTCCATGAATGTAAGCAGTCCCTGATATTAACAGTACAAAAGCCATTTTTGTTAATCACAGTCAGCATCAAATACGAAAATGGATTAAAATGTTTCTGAGGATTAGATTCAAGTTTTTGAGAGAGGGAGAGGGAGAGGGAGATTGATTGACTGATTTCCAGTCTTAGGTTAATAGATGCATTCTGATATATGGTTCTTTTGCCTTTGACAATTTGAAGGGCTACTCTTGCTTTCCAGAATGTCCTTCCACCTAACGTTTGGTAAGGGGTTGTTCCATGCTGAAATTGATAATCATTAGAAAGCTACCCCAGATAGCTAATCACCTCTTCCTTAATTTACTCTTTTAATTCTTAATGTCAAGCCCTGATTTTATTTATTTATTTTAAAGCTTTTCTATACTATTATCTTACCAAAAAGTCTCAGGACAAAGTAAAGTACAGCATCATCTACCATAAAATCCCAATTAAAATAATTTAAACCTTAAAATGCTGGGAAAATATTTTTAATTTTATTTATTAATTTTATTTTTTAAAAAAATAAAAGCCTATTTCATATAATACCAATTAATGGTGCAGTCAATAAGATATTGCATGCAGTTGTGGAAATCTCTGCCATTGTTAACTCCACACCTGTCATGAGCTAGGTTTCCCTTTTCCCACTTCAAAAACAACAGACTGTTTGTTCTTTAGCAAAGCTTTTTATTCTCCAATGCACTTCCAGTAAGCATAACCACAAAGATTGAGTCACTGAGCATGCAAAGAGCAGTCTGTTGAACCAATCACGCAACTGCTGCGAATCCTCCTTTTGAGTACTCCTGGGCCCCCTCCATCTGGGATGGCCCTTTTGGAGACAAGCAAGCCTCTTCTCTGTCCATCCCCACTCTAGCTGGTTGGCTCATTTCTCCTGATGTCATATCATGTGGTCAAGAGCCATATCAGGCTTGGCTGGCTGCAAGGGTTTTTCTCCTGTGGCCCCTCCCTGCAGCTGTAAATCCTGACTATTCTTAACATCTGTCTGAACATGTGGGGAGGGTGCCCCTGAGATAAACCCTCTGCTGCTTCCATTTCAACACCTGGAAATTTTGGCTTCCAGGGCTCATCTTAATCTGACAACCCTGATTCCGCTTGACCTTGGAATGTATGCCAAGAATAACTGCCTTCTCTATTCTCAACAATACCATCTGTGCTGCAAAAGAGCTATGGAGGGGGAAGTGAGTGTGCCAAGGATGCTGGTTCCTCTGGTACAGTTTGCCAAAAGGGAAAAAGTATGCCACCCCTGGAACTGGCATAGTGCAATGAGAAAGCCTGCCCTCATTTCTGCCCTGAAAGGTACAATTTGCATTGGTATTGGTTCTTCCACCACTATGATTGCCCTCTTCTAATTTGTAGTTCTCTCCTAAAAACATTAAGTAGTTTAAAACCTGTAGAATATGTAGGATTTATTCCACCTGAGGTTTATAAAGAACCATCTGTTTATCTACAAAATTAATATCTAGTACCCTATTTTTTGTGTGAGGATGCTGTTTATTTCTAATGGATCATCATATCAGCAAAGGGAATAATGTTAAGGTAAGCAGCTGAAAAGTAACAAATTTGCCTTAGAAAAAGGAGAGCATAAATTTGTTCCAGGTTCCCAAAACACATACAAAACACAAGCAAACAGCAGCAGAATAAAACACTGCATTAAACCTATATTTTTAAAGTAAAAACCATCTGAGAATGTGATTGAAGCATGGTGTAAAAAAGCTCAAAATGTATAGACATAAAACTTCTAAATCATTCAATTAATGAGTACTTACCCAATCCAAGTTTCTTTGCTCTGGGTCTTAAAAGCTGTAAAATATCAGTGAATCAAATAACTATCACATGAACAGTTCTAAAAAACACAAGAATCATGTACTTCAGTAAAATATTGAAATTACCTCAGTATAAGACCACTCCTATGCAAATTTAGACTAAAAAACATCCCACAACTACCAGCATACCTCAATTTTGGTGGCTGGAGTGTGTTGGTAATGGTAGGAAGTTTTTCTGCCTAAACATGAGTGGCATTATATCCTACATCATCTTTTCTTGATCAGGATAGCTACACATCCATAGATTGAAATCCAAAATTCTATGAGCATTCTACTTGTACAATAGAATTTCCCCATAGCCCTCCAAAACTGCCCCAGAGGCTGGGGACCCTGTGAAGCAGGTTTGGGGAAGCATGGTGGAAAGGGATAATGAACAGACAGACACTGGCTGGGACAGTGGGTTACAGAGCAACCTGCATTTTAATTTTTGCTTAAACAGGCTTTAATGGGAACAAAAGCAGTACTGGAATATAGGGATCTTGACCATATTTATCACTTGTCTCTATTGAAGGAGTTGAAGGACCTAATGAAGAATGAGTAACCTTGTATTGGCTAGGAATGAGTTTCCATGTATAATAGGACATCTGTGGCTGCAACAGTTTATTGAAGTAAGTGCCACGGAACTCAATGGGAATTACATTTGTGTAGACCTGCATGTTTAGACAGAAAAGGCTCTGACAACTCCCAGCACTTCTGTCTAAACATGCCTAGGACTGTGCCCTTAAGGACTCAGTTCTGCAAGTATGACTAGATACTGTCTTAATGGGCAAAAATGCACTAAGAGTTTCTAACACCTTACAAGTCCCTTGTTGCATATGCCATAACGCTACAATATTGGGAAGAACAGTACCAAACTGATTACTTCCCAAGAGCCAGCTACTAGGATATCTTATGAGACCTGGTAATTACAATCCTGAATGACAATAGAATTTAGCTATTTTGGCTTAATTATGTTTGAAATAACATTTCCAAAATTCATATCATAACCTTTAGGGAGAACTCAAAGGTCACAAAATACGGTACATATGTTCTAGTTCTCCAGAATCAAACAAAGCAAAGGAAAATAGTGGGTGGCAGGAAGGAAAATAGTGGTTGTTGTTTTTCCTAGCCATGTAAACTGCATCTGGTTAGTCTTAACATGGAAAGTGGAAATCAAAGCTATTAGTGTGTGATTCTCAAAATACTGCCTCTCAGGCAGACAATGCTACTCTTATCATGAATCTGAGTAACATCTGAACACTGTCAGTTAAAGAAAACCAAGAAATTCCATTCCTCAATGCTAATCACTTAAGCATTTTTCATGTTTTAAAAATATAGCAGCTAAAACGAACACTTGACTCACAATTTTATCTGATCCATAAATTTTTATCAATTGTTCAGCAACTTCTTGTGTCCCATCTGGGCTTCCATCATCTATAATTATAATTTCAAATTCATTTCCACTGAAAAGAAAATTAGTATTTAAATATTAGTGCATTGTTTCAAAAGATCCATCATTTCAAGTGATATAAAGCAATATAAAGGTAGAAATATCCAGTAGTTCCCCCATCAAAGGTAAGTTATGTCATTAATTCTATTACATTCAATTCACATTATTATTATTATTATTTTTCAATTTATATCCTGACTTTTTCCTACAAAGGGCTCAAGGCAGCTTACATCTCCTCCTCCATCTTATCCCCACAACAACCACCCTGTGAGGTAGGTTGGGCTGAGAGTCTGTGACTGGCCCAAAGTCATCCAGTTGGCTCCATGGCTGAGCGGGGACTAGAACCCAGATCGTCTGAGTCCCAGTCCCAAACTCTTAACCACTACACCACACTGGCACATCTCAAATTGGAATCAAATTCCTTCATAGTTTACATTTCAGATTTTTGGAGACAAGCTGGTAGTTAATTACTTTCAATTCTAGTCCCAAGTTATAAGAATACTGCATGTCACTTGCCTCATATTTTAGTAGTTCTATTACTAACATTAGCATATGACTGATCATTAAAAAAACAATTTATGGGCATCATCATTAGCTGTAGACAGACAAATGGTTTGTTACCAAAGGTTGCAATCTTTAAGTCAGGGTTGGGGAAATAGATTGGTGTGGGAGGCCCAGCCTATCATGAGCCAAATCGTGTCAGAGTAAGGCCATGGCACTTGATGTGATTCGAGCAACAATCAAGGTGTCAAAAGGATATGGCTTCATTGGGGAAGGCTTGCATGCAACAAAGCATCCTTGGTTGAAACAGCCTATGAATCACTGAGGCAGCCCATTGGCCCAGGGTGGTTTCATCTGCTTGATACCTTTTCCCATTAAGTAAGGATATAGCATAACAGAAGTCAGCTGGATCATCCAGCCAGCTGTTTGGTCCTGGCCTGGGCAAAGCTGACTTGGCTGAAGTGTGGAGGATGTCCACCAGAAGTGCTGGTTGGTGTGGATTTGTTTTCTCCTTGCCTTCTTCCATTGATTGTGCAAGCACTGTGTGCAGCAATGTCTGTGTTAAAATGTTTTGAGAATGTTTACTTGACTGAGTAGTACCATCAATATTTGTAACATTTATAGCTAGGTATTCAGAAGTCAATTTATTCTATCAAGGATTCTTAAAATATAACCATTGCCCTTCGGGAACAGACTGTTCATTCATGGAATCCAGCATGTTGTTTCCAACAATGGCCAGTCAGATACCTATGGGAAGCAGCAAGCAGAACATAAATGAAATAATATCTTGTGTTTGTTTCCAGCATCTGGCATACAAAAATGTATTATCTGTACACATGGAATTTTTATTTAGCTATCATGACTAATGACTGTTGACAGACCAGTCCTTTGTGAATTTGATTAATCCTTTAAAAAAGCTATATAGGTTAGGTGTCACATCTTGTAGCAATCAGTTCCAAGTTAATTAATGTCAGTGGTGTACACATACCACTGAAAGTTAGAATGGCATCATATATATCACCAATTATCTTAGGCATTATGCTACTGTAACCGACTCCAGTGTACCCTTCACCACTGTTTCTCCAGAGTGTAAGTGTGAAAAAAATAATAATAGCAATGAAAAAGAAATTGAGGGAAGGAAGCTTACATAACTCTGGCTGATGCTGTATTATTTTATATTTCATCTAAAATGAATAACCTGATTAATCAGCTTGTAATTGGCTTTTTGGAGTATAAAATCTCTCTTCTTATTTGTTAAGTCTATGATTTTAATTGCAAATTTCCATGTGTTGCCAACTTGGGTCCAGAGTAATGAACTTTAAAATGTGGTAAGTTTGCATCTTCAATGGACTAATTTTTGTTGGCATAAGAATGTGTAAACCTTAGAGCAACATCAACAGAAGCAAACATTCACTAATAAGTTGAATCAAAGCATCTGTATGGTATTTTACTGTATCATACTACATCTAGGGAAGTGTATGATGATTGGTTTCTGGCATCTGTGGAATAGGGGGAAATGTTGCAGCTGAACAACCTCATAGATACTGGCAAGATTAATATGTTATGATTATTACTTTTTCTGTCACTATCTGAGCAAGACAGGGAGCCTGAATTCAATGAAGCCATTTCAATACCCTTTGTATTAAAAGCACTGCGCACATTACTATTGTACCCTGAGTTCTTCTGAAAAACTGAAAGTTCAATATTTTTCTGATTCTTTCAAAATCTAAAAGAAACAGAAGGTGGAGGGAATGACAGCAGCACTTTGGCACCATGCTTTTCACTTCCAAATTCCAGAAGACTCTTCATGTTACAAAGTATATTGAAAAAAGCACCCCCCTTTACACTTTTCAGGCTAGATCCAGATTTAAATCAGATTAGCTATGCTGGTGGAAATGGACTTCCCTCTCCACTCCTTCCTCAGGGAGTCCTTCCAGCCCCCTGAAAATGTTATACAAACAGTCAGGAAACCATACTCAATGGGGTAAGCTGTTGCATTGGAGTTGGGTGGGAAAAGATCCTCAAAGATCAAGTGGCCTCAGTTCTCCATGTATAAGGTCCTTAAACCTTCCACTTCACCCACAAGAAATGTATGAAACCTTATTGATTTGAAAAGATGTAGCAACTCTCATGATTCCAAACATATTCCTTCAAATTATGGCATTCATGATTAATAGATGTTAAGGTGGATGAATAAAAAGTGCTTTATAAGATTTAAAAATTATATATAATATATAATATTTGCAAAGGTTTTAGCTATAGTTTTCTCTTAGGAGTATCCTGGTTTAAAATGAACTCTGAATTTAATTCAAACATGTAATTTTTAAAAAGTGAATTATGAATTGCTACTTTGCAAAAAAAAAAACATGTTGCAGGGAAAACATCTTTATTGGTCAACAAAAAGTACAACTACTCATGTATTTACATTATGCCTTGATTCTGGAGGCATGCACAGGAAAATGATCAAAGGTGTCATTTACTAAACCATTTGAATGATCTTCATTCCCATTTTATTCCTAGTAATTTGTATTCAACAAAAATACTGCAATCCTCTGCATATGTATTTTTAAGTTCCACTGTGTTCAATGAGTAAATATTTTTAGGAGTCCAATCCTGACATCTACATTTAGTTCTGAAATAAATATGAATTTAAGACTGTTATTTAATGCTGATTTGAAAAATTGATGCCCATTAACACTTAATTGTTCTATAATTTGTTTAATAAAACTTGTACTGTACTGTATGTATGACCCAATTATGAGCATCAACTTATCTAGCCTGTGTTGATATATTTTAAAAAAATATTAAACATTTCAGAAAATTATATACACAGTAAGTTGTATAAATACATTCAGATTAAAGTACTTTATACGTCGTCTTCCATATATGCCCTCATGCCCCTTAAGATCTGCAGGAGAGGCCCTGCTCCGGGAACCCTCCTTGAAGGAAGTAAAGCGGATATCTATGTGGAGGAGGGCCTTTTCTGTGGTGGTGCCCAGACTATGGAACGTGCTCCCCAGAGAGGTTTGCCTGGCCCTGAGCTTATATTCTTTTTGGCACCAGGTGAAAACCTTTTTATTTAACCATCATTTTAAGAATTAGAGTTTTAGATCTTGAAGTTAACAGTTGCATTTTAATTATTTTAGTTATTTTTATTTATTTTTCTTACAATTGATTCATTCTCTTTTTGCTTATTATTGGATTAATTTGATGTTATTCTGTTAGTATTAGTTGTATTTATTATAATCAATTATTTATTGTATCATGAATTGTATTTTATTATTACTGATTTTATACTCTGTAAGCCATCTTGAGACATTTAGTGAAAGATGGGATAAAAATGCTTTATTAAATTATTAAAAATGTTCTTAGAATTATTAGAACCAATTATGCATTTATTTAGAAAGTCAACAGCCAGTGTTGTATAGTGGTTAATGTTATACTGGAACTTGGGAGGATCCAGGCTGGGGTCCCTGCTTGACCATAAACTCACTGGAGGACTTTGAGCCAGTCACTGATTTTCAGCCTAACTCACTTCACAGAGTTGATGTGAAGAAGAAATGGAGAGAAGGGCCCTGTAACCCACCTTGGGTTCTTTGCAAGAGGAAAAAAGGTGTGATATAAAGAACCAAAGAGAAAAAGACTATGTTCTCCAGGCAAGTGTCCCAAGGACCATACGGTGGCTTATAAAACTTCTCCAATGTTTGAGACAGTGTTCTGACATTGGAAGGGAAGTTGGAGATCCAATCCCAGACACCTCTCTCGTAGAATGTCTGCTGCCTCTCCTTTTCCATGGATGCAGAGGAAGAAGAGGAGGGATATTCAAGTGGGCAGGGAGTGGACTGGAGAGACAGGGATATGAGTTACTCTGAGCTTCTTCCAATTTCCTTTCCTCCCCCTCCAAAGTGCCTTCAGATAGGCTGAAAAGACAATTTAGCATAAATCACCCAAAAGGATGAGGTTTAGGATTAGGGTCACTGCTGTCACTCCTTCTGCCCCAGCTTCAACCTGGCAGGACATAGGAAACTTGGAAGCCTCCAAATTTAGGGCCTTCCAAGGCGTGCGGGTACAAGAGGATTGTGCCCAAAGCTTGTGTAACTGGGCACCCTGGAGATGATCTGAGCTGCAACTCCCACCATCCCCATTCAGCAGAGCCTATGGTTACAGACCATTATTATTTATTTTTCATACTGCCTAGTAGATGTAAGTTATACTTCAAAAGATCTAGATGTAAAGATTAAAAATCTATGAAAGATCTAGGTTGGTAAAAGCTGTTCTAAATAATAAATTGGTGTTTTGATAAAAATTAATGACTTTCAACTTTCAAGAACTCCACAGAACTTCTAAGCTACAAAACCTACTAACCCATCTACTCATATATACCCATGTCAGTCCTTTATAACTTAAAAGAAATAAAAACCCACACTTTACAGAAAGCTCTCCTGGAGGCAATATGATGTTTCAGTGACTATTTACATACTGGATTTAAGCATTCAAACATTTCAAGGAAAATTAAAGTGCAGAATTGTTAAACTAGCTTGTAAGAAAGCATTCCAACTGTCACTTTATTGCTTCAAAATGTTTTAAAGCTTCAATCTCTGTGTTTAGATAGAAAGAAAGAAAAATCCTGCAACTTCCAGCATTTTGCTGGGGAATATGAGGCATTGTAGGAGGGTTTCTCCGGTTGTCTAAACATGCTTAAGTTTATACCCTTCAAAAATTACCTAGAGAGGAAAAGCCCAAGTGATCTGCAAAGCCTTTTTAATAAAGCTACAGACTCACAAGCACATAAACTAAGCTGCCAGATTTGTTGTTGTTGTTCAGTCGCAGTCATGTCCAACTCTTCATGACCCCATAGACAACATTCCTTCAGGTTCTAGCTGCCAGATTAGTGGCACTTAATTACAGCCACTCAAGAATGTGCTGGAGACACACACAAGATCAAGTATCTGATTGCCAGCTGCTTCTGCTGAATCAATCACATACCAGCTCAGTCTGTGAGAAGTGGCTAACAATCAGCAGATTGACTTGAAGGAACACATTCTCCCTTACCAATCTGCCTGGCCACTGAGGTCACTGGATGGCAAGCTTCTGCTGGTTCCATGTGAACCTATGGTCCTACTGGAGTCCACCTGTAGAAGAGTTTTCAGCGAGGTGGCTCCATTTCTGTAGTGCTCCCTGCCTCTGGAGGACAGGTGTTGTCTGCAGCACTTTCTGGAAGTCTGCCTTGACTGACTAGCCACAATTCTCTGACACAGTTTTCTGATTTTGCACATACTGTTTTACCCTGTTTAATCTTTCATTGTTCACTGCTCCAGAATCTGTTTAAATGTGAAGAGATATATACATATTGTAAATAAATAAATAAAAGCCTACAAATGTCAGGGATGGAAAGGGTAACACAAAATGGATCTTAAGCATCTCAAGAACCTTGCAGAAGGCAAACTAATAAAACCCTTCATACCCAAGCTTATCTGCTCCAGATATTTCAGGCATATGAACAGGTGCCTATGTGCAAAGGGGACATATGTATAAGCAAGCATGCACAAGTCTGGGCTGTAACTCCTAATCTAAAAGGCTTATGTTTAAACTGCCCATATATCAGAAACATGTTCCATGATTGCACAACTGTATAGCAAAATAAATTTTAAGATCTTTATTACAAGTGCCCCTGAGAAATTGGTTACACAGCAGTATAAACATGACTAACGTTAATAAAATCCGGAGCATCTTATCCTGGAATGTTCAGCACAGGCCTATTTTGACTTTAAACTCAAGATAATCTGATTCGAATTTACTCCCCCACACCCCCCAGAACCACTTTTATGAGCACAGGATGAAAAAGGAAGCATGCCTTCAGCTCTCCTATCTACATGAACGTAAGCAGCCTTCTCCAAGCCTTCCAGATTCGCTGGCTTATACGAGGAAAGCATTGGGGTTGGGGCAAGATGAAGGGCAGCCCCAACGCGCGACGGTGACCGCGATGGGGATGCGGAGAGGGCGGGAAGAGCATGCCAGCTATTCCGGATTAACTAGCGCGCTCTCCGGAAAGGGGGCCGCTCCGACGGGTTTTGTGCGCCGCGCGTCAAACGGGCCGCGCAGCCGAGCGAAGGGAAAGGCGGCTGCAGCCCCTGCCTCCCCCTCCTCTGCCTCGCCCGCCAGCAGTCACCTCTGCGCGAAGCTCCTCACCAGCAGCCACACAATGAGCGGCAGGTTCTCGCGCTCGTTGTAGGTGGGCAGCAGTACCGAGTACTTGTCCGGGGAGGCCGCCATGACGGCGACGAGCTCTGGGCAAGGGCGCCTGCGTGCCAGCCGGCCAGTTGGCGGCGGGCCGGGCCTCCTCTCCCGGGCTGTGGCGGGTTTTACCACAGCGGCGGAAGCGGAAGAGGCGAGGCTTTCTCCCCACCGAGGGGTTCGCCGTTGAGGCCTTGCCGGCTTTTCTGCTTCTGCCTGAGGTAGCGAGGGCAGCGGAGAGGAGTTCGTTGCTGAGGTAATGGCGACGGCGGGAGAGGCCTCTCACTGTTCGGCAGAGGAAAACGTGGCGGGTGACAGAGCCCGCGGCGCGGCGGAGCCGCCAGCCCCTCTCCCGCTGCGCACCGAGCTGAGCCGGCTGGACATCCAGCGCTACTCCCGGCAGCTGGTCCTCCCGGAGCTGGCCGTGCGCGGGCAGCTGCGGCTGTCGGGCTGCTCGGTGTTGGTGGTGGGCTGCGGCGGGCTGGGCTGCCCGCTGGCGCAGTACTTGGCCGCTGCGGGCGTGGGTCGCCTGGGGCTGGTCGACCACGACGTGGTAGAGCTGAACAACCTCCACAGGCAGGTGTTGCACCGGGAGAGCCGCGTGGGCAGCCCCAAAGCCCAGTCTGCGGCCGCAGCCTTGAAGGAGCTCAATTCCGCGGTGCAGTGTGTGCCCTACGAGCTGGTGCTGAGCCCCGCCACTGCCCTGCAGCTGGTCAGAGCGTACGACATCGTGGCCGACTGTTCCGACAACGTGCCCACCCGCTACCTGGTCAACGACGCCTGCGTGCTGGCCGGGAAGCCCTTGGTGTCCGCCAGTGCCCTGCGGCTGGAAGGACAGCTGGTGGTGTACAACTTTCAAGGCGGTCCCTGCTATCGCTGCCTCTTCCCCAAGCCTCCTCCGCCAGAGACAGTCACAAACTGTGCGGATGGCGGGGTCTTGGGTGTGGTGCCCGGCATCCTTGGCTCCCTCCAGGCTTTGGAAGTGCTCAAGATTGCTTCTGGGATGGGCACCCCGCTCAGCCAGTCTATGCTGCTCTTTGATGGCCTTGAAGGAAGATTTCGCTACATCAAGCTAAGGCCCAGGGATCCAGACTGCTTGGTTTGTGGTGACCATCCCTCTGTGACTGCCCTACAAGATTACGAAATGTTCTGTGGGTCATTGGCTACAGACAAGTGTCGGACGTTACACCTGTTGAGTAGTGAAGAGCGAATATCAGTAGAAGAGTACAAAAAGATACTAGACAGCCAGGTACTTCATATACTGGTAGATGTCCGCCCACTAGTGGAAGTGGACATATGCCGCTTGCCACAGTCGCTAAGTGTGCCGCTAAGTAAACTAGAAGGAAAAGATGAAGAATATCTGAAATCACTTTGTCATAGGATCTGTGAAGCAAAGCAGAAGACTAAAGACAATGTGGCATTCCCTGTTTATGTTGTCTGTAAATTAGGGAATGACTCACAGAAGGCTGTGAGAATATTACAGGGATTGTCTTATGATGGACTAGGCTTAATTTCTTTTAAAGATATCAAAGGAGGACTGATGGCTTGGGCTAAAAAAATTGACCAAGAGTTCCCTCAGTACTAATATTTCTTAATAGTAATAATATAATGAGTTGCATTAATAACTGAACTGGTTGAAAAGATTTTAATTTTATACATTTTTCTACACGTCTTCATAATGTTTGAAAAAATACTGGAAAATAAACTTTTATAAAAGATAAAGCATGGGTGCTTCACTGTTATTAAAGGAACTCACTTTCGTAGCAAGGCAACCTATTTCTGAATCTGTAGAAATACTTTTTAATGGTAAAGTTGTTTGTCTCAAGTTGTGACATATGCCAAAAGCTATATATGTATATTAGGTTCCATATAGTAATACTACTGCTTCAGCTGTAACATTCCCAGAGTTCCCAGTCATATAGTGTTGTCAGGGTTATCTTCCAGAATGTTGTCATTTGAATAATTTCAGAAATAGTATCCTTACATTCTCAGCTTTTGGCACTTTGCCAGATGTTACACTTTAAGTTGGGAGAGAGAAAGACTGTAACCTCCTTACATGTTCTTCCCTCTCCACTCCAGCCCACTGTATCAGCGTTCCCACTCTAAACCTGATTGGGTGTATGAGGCTTATGTCTTGTATCCTTTTGACATCCTTTCCTATTGCAACACCTGTGGTATTTCCAACATGGATTTTTAGGAAATGCATATAATGTTCTTATACATAAATTTCAACAAAGCCAGGCCAAATATCCAAATAAGTATTCATTTGAATGTGGTGTCTCTATGCCTTCTGTTCATATATTACTAGTTTATTATGTTTATATCCTCATTTTTCCTCTTGTGAGGGTGGCTTACATACTCCTCCATTTTATCCTCACAACAACCTGGTGAGGGTGAGAGGCAGTGACAGGGCCAAAGTCATCCAGTGAGCTAAAGTCATCCAGTGAGCTTCATGGCTTAGAGGGGACTAGAACCCAGATAGCCTGAATCCCAGTAGCAGAATAACCACTGTACCTCACTCATTTTCATATATTGAAAGCATTTCAGTGTCCTCAATTCATTGCATTATAGGAGTTGAGTCTTTTTCCTTTCAATTATGTAACAGTAGTCTTTAAGATGTGAAGAGAGTTCAGAAAATCCAACTCCCATTTGTTAATTTCCATGAAGCAGGTAGGTATTTTAAGAGGGCATGTGCATCATTGAATATTAAAGAATATTTGTTCGAGTTCAAAATTTATGTATATACTTTTTCCAAAAAAGAAGCAACAACTGAACATTGCCAAAACACACTTAACGGTAGTATTAGCTTTGTTGCAGTGCCAGCAATTAGATGAATTAGACAATCCCATATTAAAAAGATAGGTTGTTCAACAGACATGAAATAAACAGTTTGTTGAATATGATACAACATAATGTTATCTGAAGGAACACTCATCCTTTATGTACCTATCTGGGCTCTAAGGTCATCTTCAGGGGTCCTTCAAGAGTCCCTTCCTAAGGAAATAAAGAGGGTGGTGACCAGGAGAAGGGCTTTTCAGTTGTGGCACCCCAGCTATGGAATGAGCTCCCCAAAGTGGTGCATTTGGCACCTAATCTCTATTCTTTAAGCTGGCAGGTGAAAAGCTATTCATTTTCCCAGTACTTTAACATTTAACTTTTTAATTGATGTGAGCCGCCCCAAGGCTTCGGTGAATGGGGTGGCATAGAAGCTTCCTAAATAAATAAATAATTTCAGTTTTAATATTGCTGTTTATTCTGTACTGCTGGCATATCTCTGTACCAATTTGACTGCTGTGGTTTTATTGTTCATACATTGTCCTTGTCTTTTTTGTTCATGTATACATTTAACTTTTTACTTGTGTTAACTGCCTAGAGAGCCTTTGGCTATTGGGCCATATAAAAAGGACTATAAATACCATATTTTTCACTCTATAAGATGCACCTGACCATAAGATGCACCTAGTTTTTAGAGGAGGAAAACAAAAAAAATATTCTGAATCAAATGGTTTACTAAATTATTTAATAAACTGTAACAGAATACAGTAATACCATATTTCAGCCTTGTAAAGTGAACAGCAGTCAACAGTTGCATTAAGAACCATCATCACTGTCATTAACAAAAGAGAGACTTTAAAGTTCGAGTACTCTTCTAGTTTTTGTTGAACCCATAGAACTCATCATCACTAGAGTCAGAATTTATGAAGCTCTGTTGCTCACAATCACTGACATCACTTTCTTAGTCAGTAGTGGAATTATTGAAGGAATCCACAATCTACACCAGTTATACAAGAGCTGCTGCAGACAATTCAATAAGAAATCTAAAAAAGCCAGTAATGTCCACGCTGCCCTACTAGTAAATAATAGAAAAAAACTTCTGACAAAAAATGAGATATTGTACAGTAAATCAAACACACAGCAGACTAAGTAGCCTTTGAAGAATAAACTTCATACACGAAGGTAATGCTGTTCAAATATCCACTGATCCTAAAAAAAATGTGTCTGATCGACTAACAGATAACTGATCCATGGAAAGCTTCCTGATAATCACAGGCACATTCCCCATCACTTCCCCATGGGCTTCATTAAAAGACGGGTTGCCATTTGAAAACACACACCGACCTGTGCTCTCACCTGCGCCGGAGGAGGGGGGCGGAGCAGGGCGCGTCAAGTGCATGCCGGCCAGGTGGAGCCACGTGGTGCAGGTGGGCTGGCAGCATTCCGGGCGTCGGGCACACATACATTTGCTCTATAAGACACACAGACATTTCCCCTTACTTTTGAGGGGGGAAAAAGTGTGTCTTATAGAGCGAAAAATACAGTAAATAAGATCCATAGGTATAACAGGTAGACACCAAAATCACCTATCCACTGATTAGGCATGTTGTGGTGGTGCCCACAGCAGTTTTGCAAATTCCTAGATGTGTCCACAGTCCAAAAGGTTGATTTCTTTGTCTTATTTCAGCACCAGGCTTTCCATGTTTTCTTTATGACCTACCTGGTTACATGTTGCCAATGCACATAGAAAGGGTCATAAGGCAATTCCAAGTGAAGGGAAATATTTCTATCCCGACACAAAATTTTCCATGTCTCTCCTTGTCACAGCCATATATGGGAATTAAGAAACCTATTGACTAGAGCCAGCAGAAAATACCATGTTTCCATTTCTCTCCTAGCTTGATCCTGTTTGGCATAACAAGGAGGAGCTGAGTGCCTGTTGCACAAACAAGCATCTGTGAACTATGCTAACAGAACAAGGAGGGGTGTCTGGTTTGTGGGCTGTGTTCTCTCTGCAATATGGACAACAGTAGCAAAAGAGAATAATTCATGCTAAATCTATAAATATGTTTTCAGGCATTTACTCCCTCCTCCTTTTTTTGTATCCAGAATTCCAGAAGGAAAAACAGGTTGGCAGTAAAAAGCATAGAAGAGTGGGAAAATCCACAGTGGCATTACCTAAAGAGCAGAAAAATTCTACTTTCCTTGAACTGATGTTGGCTGCACATTTTTCAACTATTTCTGTGCAAGTGTAGGAGCTAGGTAACTAACAATGATAATTCCACATTTCACTTCAGGAATCGTGTCTGGTATTGAGTTCAATATCCACAAAGTCTCTTCTTTTAAGAAAATGCGGAATCTGATCTTGGCTAGTGAAGAATATGTGAAACAAGTATATCCTATCAAGGATTCCTGAGCCAGCTAAAATATAAAAGTGTCATAACTGAAAGAAAATTCACATGGAATGAATCCCCTGCTAAACTGTCTTTTAAACAGTAACATCAATGTGTGCTAGGTGGCGCTGCAGGGTCATAAGTGATTATTTTGTGAAGCACAAGCAACAATACAAGGGATCAGAATGAGGTTCTTTATTTTAAAAAAACAGTTCTATTTGAAAAGCGTGAAAAATTCTAGAAACAATATAAAATGGAATGCAGCAATTTCTTACATGCAATTTAGCATTTCAGAAGCAAAATATAAAGGCAGACAGCAAGTTAGGAGTTTTTTGGTTGGTTTTAAAGAACAGAAAGGGGGGAAAAGGCTTAGCAAGGGCTGTAATGAATGAATTCACTTCAGTAATGGGAGCTGGACTGTCCCAGTGTCTGGTAGAGTCATTAACATACTGCTTTGTTTTCAGGCTGTTTGGTCTTCAGAGTGCTTCAATAGTGCACGTCCCATTAGTGGGATATCTGTCATGCCTGAAACTATCCAAACTTTGTGGTGTTTTTAGATTCTTCAAGAAAATTGTGAAGTTTTCTTAATATAATTATTTCCTGTACAAATAACCTGTGCTTAAAAAAACAACAGAAGAACCATGATATGTTCTGTGTTGTGACCCCTTTGAATATTCTAACTGAAAACATACTTTCTTTACATCTAGAAAGGTGAAGTGTGAAGTGGACTTTGGGGCTATTTTATTTCTTATTTTTAAAAAGGTAAATGCAGGACTTGAAACATTTGTGGGAGTCTAGATCTTCAGAAAAATATTAACTACATTTTGTGCCATTTCTGATTATCCTTGTCATTCTGTTCTGTCCATTTGGTACAGTCCCACAGGGCCTAGATTATTATTCAAGTATTACCACAATCATAACACTCACAAATCTAGCGATGCTAGCTAGATCTGGAACAAGCCAGTGAATATGAGGCATACTCCCATGAGCTGAAAAGCAAAGGTGGTATTTATGGAATGCAAAATGATTCTCTCACATTACCAATTTACTAGCTTTATTTTTGGCAAAATCAAGAATTTCAGTTCTCTGACTTTGTGTACCCATTCGTTCCTCTCTACCAGCTGCTTGGGCCCTAACCTGAGATTAATTCTTACTACTTCTGCTCCTGCCATTCAGTCTCAATTAACTTTTTGCCTCCCCTTTACTAGTGTTCTTTGCCCAAGGATGAGTGCTTGATTAGTCTTTCCTTTTCTTCCTATTGTCCCTTATGCCTGCAGGTGTTTGTACATCAGTGACAGAGAGATGGAAAAATGCTTTTGTTTTATTGCTGCAAAACAGAAACTGCTCAAGCCCAGTGTAATACATTTGCACCCAGTGGTGTGTCTTTTCCTGCCCCTTGTGTGCATCATAGAAGAGTGATTTTGTTGAAGTCTATTATAAAGTGTCCTTTCATCTGAAGAGGTTCAAGGTGTCACTCCTAGCACAAACTATACCATCACGCCTGTGTGCCCCTTCCAGCTCTGTGAAGCTGGAATGCTCCATGGAATTCTGGAAAGTTCTGGGCAGTGAAACACTCCAGTGCACAAGTGGCCTA